GGATCTGAACCGGGGCCCTCTGGCGTCCCAAGCCAGTTCTTAACCATCGCGCCACTCGGCCAGCCCGATTCCCTCCTTTTCTGATCAGGGTTAACTTGCAATTCCCTCCCTTACACACGCTTTCTCCAGCCATCAATGTGGCTCATGCCTTCACTTTTTCCAGGTCACTGTTCAGGCCGTTCTTCTGAATAGAGTCACTCCCTAATTAAGCACCCATCGGGCCAACCATCCCTAATTCCGTGGGTTTCACACCTTGTGTCGTTTATCACCGCCTGATGTTGTATCAAGTTAATTCAGTGCCTAGAGGGTAAGCTCCATAGAGTGGGACATGGTCCTATTCACCACTATGTCCCATATACCTAAGGCAGTGCCTGGCATATAGTAGGTGCTCAATAAACAGTGGCTGTTGAATTGACGTCTCCTCATAACAAACAGGGTGAGAGGCACCACACGACTGGCCTGAGACAAGCAAGATGGCGTGTGTGTGAGGAGGTACCGTGTGAGTTGTGGGGCACAGTCCAGATGTGAGTCGGATGGAGGGAAGCTAGATTTTATCATCTGCTGCACCAGCTTCTTTCTGCTGTAACTACGTGGATGTTTCATTCGTTTTTACAAAAACCCTTTAGAGATTATTATCCCCATTTTAGAGGGGGCTGAGACCCTAGTCAACATTACAGCATGTAAGTGGCCAGCCCAGGATTTGAACCCAGGCCTGACTATCTCCATCACTAGGTGTTTCCCACTATGTTCTGTCGTCTCCCACTATGCTCTGCTGCCTCCCGCGGTGGCCCTGCCAGGAGTGTCACAGGTATATCACTTTAGCAGCCACTCGCACAACTTGCGATCCAGAAAGCAGAATGGTGCGAAACTGCTGAGTTACGCTGATTGGCTAGGAAGCATGCCCGTGCTCATTTGAACACAGGTGACTAAATCCCTGTGCCAACCATTTCGACCCACTCTGGATGCTGGTAAAACAGACAAGTGGCTGGCAGCGTGGAGGGCGCTATGAGCTACCACTGTCACCGCGGTGGGTCTAGAGGGAGCGCCCAGATAACAGGATGGCAGTGGATGCCTCACTCTCCAACACAGCTCCTCTTGCAAAGGCTCCTTTAGGGCATGGGGACCCAAGGGCCTCAGCAGAATGCACTGCCCCTCACAGTGAAAGACGGGGAAGACAGGCACACAGGAGCCCAGAGACGATCCTAAAGCAGGGGTGCAGGCTCCGCGAAGGCAGGGACCCAACCGTCTGCTTGTCCACTCTATCCCTGGAGCCCAGACCAGTGCTTGGCACATAGCAGAGGCCCCAAATACCTGCTCATTGAGTGAGGGGAGCGATGGGCTGTGACGACAGGTGGGTGGTGATGGGGAAAGCAGTGTCACTTAANCCCCAATAAAAATCTTTAAAAAAAAAAAAAAGAAAGAGTTCCTACATTTTAGGTCTTCGCAGAATGTTAAAAATGTTTGCCAAGTGGATGTAGCTAGAGCTTTCTCTTCAAACTCCCAGACCACGTGGGAAGAGCAAAGCTGGGCCACGGATCTGACAGTGAACTGGTTTGCGAGTGACAATAAGCAAGGAGGCGGGAGGAGGGGCATCTTGCACAGGTCTGGTTTTCCTCATTAAGCACCCACCCTCATGAACACCATGAAACATCTCCCCACTGCAGCCATTTCTAACATTCTCGCAAGACTTGATAAAGGGTTTCGAAGATTATAGGCTGTGAAAGATGGAGGAGAAAATGACATAATTTCTGTAATAATTACAATAGAACATTTGCATAAAGGCTTTTGTGCATGATCCCAAGGCTTCCAAGAAATTTATAGGTTTCATTATAATGCACACTAAGCATGGCAACTGTCAAATTTTGGAGACAAAGGTGGGGGAGGAAACAAGTCAAGTACAACTCTGCAAGGGCCTCAAATTAATAGATAGTCTGCATTTGAGAACTTTAACTCAGATGGGTTCTATTTGCTCCTATCTGCTCTACCGAGCCGGCAGACATAAGGAAACCTGAATTGAATACTCTGCTTCAAAGATAAATCAAGTACGTGCTCCTTTTCCCAAAGTAAAACTATTAACCACAGAATTTGTTGAGTTACCTTTTTTTGCTTTCTTCTGCAGTTTCAGGGTATCTGAAGACTTCTTTTTTATCTCTTGGCGAGCTTTTTTATATTCTAAGAGAAAGCAGAATATTGAATCATTTTACAACTTTGCTCCACAGAAAATATTTTTGGAACGGCCATTACCTTCATCACAGAAAGCATACACTATGACAAATAATACACAGCTTTATCGGAATACTATGATAACACCATGATGACATTTTAGAGCAGAGGTGCGAGAAATGGGAAAAACAACAAAATGTGCTATGGTCTTTCCCTACTCATTCATACCAGCATTGAGGAAAGATGTGATTTGGGAACATTTTATTAAAAATGAAAAATTCGCAACTCAAAATTCTCCGCTCAAGCATCAGGAAATATTTTCAATGTTATTTACTTCCCCAAGGCCCCAAAGGACTCATGTGGTAATATGGTGCTGGCCAGATGTTACAATTCAGGAAAGAGGACCTCAGACTACAGCACAGGGGGAGGACCCAGCTGCCTTACTTTCACATTAATACTGAGGCCGGACGCTGTGACACCACGGAGGGGTGGCCCACATCCCACAGCCCCTGCCAACCATTTCCTCTTCCCCCACCAGTCCACGCCCACGCCCGGACTTCCGGACTTTCTCATTGCTGTTGTTGCTATCTCCATAATCCAGATGTGGACATCCAAGATGACAGTCACCTCTGACACTCTTTCATCTGCTGCGGTCACATTTAATTAATTGGCCACTCGACCAGTTCCCTCACAGTTATTCTGGATGTTTCCCTCCACTGCTCTCTNTGTGCCAAACAGTCCACGGCTTGCCATCGACTGAACCCACATCCACACTCCCTCCCCTGACTCGCTAATATTCTTTCCTTCTCATCCGAACAGAAACCTTTCGAGTTAGTAGTCATCACCCCGAGAGAATACAGCAAGGTTTTGAAAAAGAGAGATGAAGAATGCATTCCCATAAAAAGCCAGTTAAGATGATTTACCAAGAAAACCTTTCAAGTGTAGTTTATCCTAACTTGAAAAGTAACCAGAAAAACCTAGGATACAAAGTTTAAGCTGTGGTGGAAAATGAAAATGTTAACGAATTTAAACTTTTGAGTACGAAAGCCAATGATATGCTAGTCTGAAACTTGGCTGAGTCTGTGTATTAGGTTTATAATATGAGCTTTGCAGCGTGTGGTGAAAAATGATCGATTCAACTATTTGAATGTCAGGCTTAAGGGTTAATGCATTAACATATTAAAATGTTCCAGGTTTCTCCCTCAAAGGAAGTCCCTGATAAGCTTTTAGTAGTTACAAATTGAAACAGAAAGCTTTACCATAATCAATTTTTTAATTCAAGTTAATAATAATATGAGAGTTAAATGAGAAATAAGGGTGCTGACTTTGTATAGTAAGGTGGCAAGAGTAGGGAGACAGAGTTTTCCCCACATCCAATCCTCTGACTTCCCCAGATGGGTTATGGCCAACTCCAGGACCCCAAAGACCAGCTAACATCTAGCGGCAGGGGGAGGGCTCAAGAGACGCCATTTGGAGACTGGGGCTATTGGGTCAGCTCCACACCACTTCCCCAACTTCCTGCTGCCTGTCCCCTCTCCTGTCAACAAGGCTGGCTTTGCTCTGTGTCCTGACCCTACTAGCCTGGTACTTTATGGAGGGCGGGGAGGGTCTCTCCAGCCCCCAACTCCCTGCCTAGTGTTTACTCCTAGTCTGTGTTCAATAAGCCTGCCTTCCAGAGAAATAGGTACATTCACCCATAGCTGGAGCATATGCCAAGTTGTTTTAAAATGATTTTGAGATAAAGTCTAACCAAAAACAAAAAAAATTTTAAGTATATTTGATGGTAGTATTTAAATACCTACACATGAAAAATGACCACTCTTTATATTATAGAAAAAGAGTCAAAGAAAGTGTGACGGACGATGATATCTTAGAGCAACGGTTCTCAACCTGTGAGTCGCGACCCCTTTGGGGGTTGAACGACCCTTTCACAGCGCTCACCTAAGACCATCAGAAAACAAAAAGATATTTACATTACGATTCATAACAGTAGCAAAATTACAGTTTTAGAGTAGCAATGAAAATAATTTGATGTTTGGGGGTCACCACAACATGAGGAACTGTATTAAGGGGTTGCGGCATTAGGAAGGTTGAGAACCGCTATCTTAGAGTGAGAATTATGGTAAATTAGTCACACACACAAATTACATCCCATGGGTGTCTGCCGATATCAAGGGCAGTGCGAAAACCGTGCTTAAAAGCACGAAAGCATTCGAAATTTTGAAAAAAAAGAGAAGAATTTTTAGATTAAAGATCACAGTTTTTGAAAAAGGCACGGCAGAAAGCTGCTTGATAATCTTCTGAAAATATATTAAAAGGGAAGCGATTGTTTGGATGTATAAATCAGATTCACGTCCATGATAAAAAAAAATGTATCCAAAGCATTTGTTCATCCTAATACATGGTNTTCATTGCATCCTCGTGTTTCACCTCTGCTATCACCACCCTTAACTGGGCCACCTTGCTCTCTAATGGCCCCTAATATGTCAACCCAATTGCATTTAGACCAACTTGCCCAGTGCAGCCTTGAATTACTTTCGCAATGTAAATATCACCACTTCTTGTCAATAGTGCCCGTTTCTTTCAAGAAAAGTCCAGTGTCCTTCCCATGGCCTGCCCTGCAAGGCATACACGGGTCAGCCCATGCCCTTGAAGCCTCATGCTCCTTACAGCAATCTCTCCCCTCTTCCGTCCTCTTTCTCCAGGATCTGGGCTCCAACCCACTCACTCAGACTGTTCATCCTACAGGTCTCGGTCCTTGAGGCAAGTCTCCCCTGAACTCTCATAGATTAGGATTCTGTTACTTGAGCTTAGAAGTTCCTTATACGTCTCCTTCACAACATCTCCTCCCGGTACTAATTTTATCTTTATTTCTCTAGTTCTTTGAGTGATGTCAGTCTCCCCCCAAGTATCAAGGAGCCCCAACAATGTTTCTGCTCAGTACTGTATCTTCCCACCCAGCACACTTGCCTGGAAAACAGGTACTCGCATATTTGCGAGTAAATGAGGCACGGCTAGAATAACTTGACCTGCGTTTGCTCACTGGCCTCAACCACCATGCCCTTAAATGGCCTAACACCATAAAACTAGAAAATTCCAGGATGGCTAAACAGCCAAAAGAAGGAAGGGGGTGACTTAAATGGGCTTTCCAGATAAAATTCCTGAATGAAGAGTCATTTGTGGCCTTTTTAGTAAAATCTAAGTCATCGCAGGCTCGAGAATGTTCTTTCCACCGCCAGTTTCCAGGTCTTGGTTGTATTCATGCTGGAGAATTCTGAACAAAAGCCAGGAGCCCTTTATTGCCCCAGGGGAAATTATATGACTATTCTCGTTAGAGAAAATGCTCCTGGGGTCATGCACTGGTAATGGGCACCATGTCACGGGCCAAAGTAGCACCCTTAAAAGAGAAAGGATTTGAGGGTTTTTGGTGTTGTTTTTTTTTTTTCCATTAAGTAGGGAGTTTACAAAGCTTTCTGGAATGTAATGAAGATCCCATGTCTTCCCAACATTTACCCTTTATTTTCTTTCATGTTTATATAAATGTTCAAGATAGGAACTAATACCCCTTTTGGACAGAGGGGGAAACAGACTGATGGAGGCAAAGTGGCTCGCCCAGGGCCACCAGCTAGGTAGGCATGGGCACAGCCAGACTCCAACCCTACGTCTTTCTTGTTCAGAAGCGCCACGTTCTTTGTTGCTTCATGCTCACAGCAAACATAACCCTGGGAACAAGCTGTAAGGAGCCCAACATTCTACGTGGTAACAGCCCGATGTCAAACGCCAGTCAAGTGTGATCAGAATTCTCTGGGACCTCTCAGCGTCTTCACACACACACTGCAGCCCACACCTGAGCCTCATGGCTGAACCAAGCCAGGCACCCTTCTCAGGCAAAGTGAGGGCTTTCCAAGGAAGAACAAACCCAGAACACACTGGGCCAGGACCGCTGTCAGAAAAACAACCAAAGTCACTTCTTTTCCTGACAGAGACATCTGAGGAAGCTGTTAGAATCCTACAAAATGACTTCCATCTGCCCTGAGCACACAAACACTGTATTTCACTCTTAAGATGCCCATTTTTTCACATTTTTACACCTCACAAATCATGATGTGTCCTACAATCAATGACGTGTCATCATAGTTTAATCAGAAGGGTTTTTTTCCTCATTTTCTGTGGTCCAGAAAATAACAGGGCAGCTTGCAATGGATGGTATCTTAGAGTCCATGAATTATGGGATATAAGTACTGAAATACAGGATATAAATCCAGAGATGGATGTACAAGGTGAGGCTGGGGATTAGAATTTGGAATGAAAATTTTCCTTTTCTGACCAAAAGGCGGCTCTCCTTATTATCCCTACATAAATCTTTTCCTACTCTTAATACCGTGGGGTAGTTTTTTATTGGTTCCCCAAAGTGAATACCACCAGAAATCAAAAGATAGATGTAATCAGGTAAGGGAGGCTTTTTGACCTAAAGATTTTTCAAACAAACCCAATTTCTGTTATTCTTTCAACATGCTATGCCTCAGTTTCCACTCCTCTGTGAGACGTAAAGAATAGTTGGTCCCCTTCACATGGTTGTTGTGATGCCAAATAAACTCATTCATTTGAAGCATTCAGCACACTGCCCAGCACGTCACGAGCACTTGGTAGGTATCAGGCACCATTAGCAACCACACAGCATCTCTAAAGTTGTCCTCCTAACGCGGGACAGGCAGTATGAGTATGCACAGTGGGTCTTTAAAAAAATGAGCTTTCAGTTAGAGGTCCTCTTTGGTGGACAGGTATTTAAAAGATCCCATAGTCATTTCATTACAGGTGGGAGCTTCATCAGCAAAATTCACTGGTCCTGAGCAATCAGCTGTTTATCCAAGCAAAAAATAAGACAGCTCAGAGAACAACCAGAAACTGTCCCAGGCTCGCCACTTGTGTCTCAGAGAATCCTAATGTCACTGACATGAGTCCTTCTCTGTAGTTAAAGAAATGCTCTACTACCCATCACCCGGCT